GCCTGACGTTTCAAAAGCAAACAAGCTTCCATCGTCGGAGGTGGGTTCTGTACGGCGCCTCACAGTATTTATGGGTGCTGAGCATGCGGGAGTGTTGTCGTTCCTACTGCTATTCGTGCAGGATCTGCTGCGAGGGGAGGAGCTAATTGCTGTCGTGCTGGTCGGTCCCTTCCTGCGTCTCCTCGTCGGGTGGGCTGTGTCGGGATGGCAACGGTCATTGACCTCGTCTGCATTGCCCGCATTTGTTGTGCCTGACCCGCATTTCTCGTAATTGTCCCCCGTTTGCCTCTGCCCGTGTGCACCTCGGTGGCTGCTGGCCCCTTGCCTGTTACTCCTTTATCGGCCTGCTGGCCCCCGTCATCGGTGTTTGGGTGCGAACTGTGTTCACCTGGGCTTGTGATGCTGACTTCCTGCCTTTGATTCCGTTGGTTGAACCGCATTCGTAGGGCCTGGTAGGCCGCCGGGAGAATCGTGCAGCGGTAGGAACGACAACACTCCCGCATGCTCAGCACCCATAAATACTGTGAGGCGCCGTACAGAACCCACCTCCGACGATGGAAGCTTGTTTGCTTTTGAAACGTCAGGCTATTAAACCTATGGTTCCCGAGATCGCCTCTTCTCCTCATTTATCCCCGGGGACGCGCATTTTCGCTTTAATTGGCAATATATATATATATATCAACATGAGTGAAGATTCGAGGTCCAGATAGATTATCCCGTTCATCATCCCCAAAAGAAGACGAAGAAGAAAAACAGGCGATGTCATGGACCACACTGTATTGGTGCTGACGTTTCGGAAACATCCTCGTTTCCATCATCAGAGTAGTGGTAGGGTGTTTGTTCCTGCTAGCTCAGAGTTGTTCTGTCTCGCCGCCTGTCTCGTGTTATAGGCATGCCTGCTACGCGAACTCTGACAACGACGGGAGAAGGGAGGAAGTGAAGTACCTGCATTCCCTATTCACAGCCAATGGTTACCCACGATCCTTCATACGTGAGTGCCGAAGAGGATTTAACCGCGAACAATCTAATGATGAGAAGCCGAAGTTCTGGCTCGCAATCCCCTATATGAGGAACGTTTCTGAGGCGACAGCAAGAATCCTAAACCCTTTTGGAATTGGGGTGGCCCATAAACCGGAATCCACTATCAGGCAGCAGATAATGAGGCCCAAAGACCAGCTACCTGCAACGGAACAATCAGCAGTGGTCTACAGCATACCTTGCCAAGATTGCGGTGCAAGGTATGTTGGTGAAACGGGCAAACGCCTCTGCACAAGATTGCACGAGCACAAGCTTGCAGTCAACCGCGAGGATAAGCTGTCACTGGTATATAGCCACATGCAACAGGAGAAGCACAGTTTCGCCTTTGGGGAGGCGAGCGTCATCGGCCGAGCGAGCGACAAGATGGCCAGACTGGTTCTCGAAAGTTGGTCCTCAGTTGACACAATCAACAGAGCTATTGATCTTCATCCGGCCTACCAGGCGCTTCGTACGAGGCTCCAGTCAGTTCGGACGGGGCCGACAGCACTGGCGAACAAATCGCGGCTCTCTCACCAGTTGTCACCTTCCCAGCAGGGGGAGAGAGCCACCCGGGTGTCAGACGACCGACGCGAGATATCGACCCATCGACGCGCCCAAACAGCCGACCCCGATTCCCACATGCAACGGCAGCTGATCAGCCCGTCAAATTATGGGGGGAGGGCCCAAGGGCACACGGACCTAGCAGCGACAACAGCGGCCGGGCAGGGGGCAGAGGTCACACCAGCGCCCCAGCGGTCGGCCACGGAGAGACCTAAGCCAATCCCCCGCCAGCAGGCAGGTCAGAGTTCGTGTAGCAGGCATGCCTATAACACGAGACAGGCGGCGAGACAGAACAACTCTGAGCTAGCAGGAACAAACACCCTACCACTACTCTGATGATGGAAACGAGGATGTTTCCGAAACGTCAGCACTAATACAGTGTGGTCCATGGCATCGCCTCTTTTTCTTCTTCGTCTTCTTTTGGGGATGATGAACGGGATATATATATATATGTATATATATATATATATATAGAGAGAGAGAGAGAGAGAGAGGGAGGAGTGCGGAAAATAGAGTCTTGGGGGCAGATCGATACAGCGTTTAATTCTGCCAATCATAACTGACCACCAGCTGGGACCGGAAGTACAAACATGCGCACTGACACACCTGGCGCAGCTAGTCCACTACTGGGGTCTAACAGATGGTCGTAAGCACTTCATCGAGGCGAAGTTCATCAGGGCATCGCAACCTGCCATTTTATGTCGCTGTTGATGCGGTGCCATGGGATTTAGAGCGTTTCGCTCTCCCAACTCCCAGACTATCACAAGACTTATGTCATCCTTGAGGGGACAGCTTGAGCAAATCAAACATACACTGTGTCTCTGGACCAAGATATCTCCCTGATCTTAAGAGGGTGATGCTGCAGGTAGAATGGTATTACCAACAAAGACATAGAGGACAGAAATGACCATTCCAATCTCGTCTTTGTCGGTAGTACCATTCTGCCTATATCATGCTCTGCTGTGCGGCTGCTGATTGGGTTTGAAAGAGATGCCGTAAGCCACACTAGGACAAATGAGTCCCGTAGAAATGATCGGTGAGCGCCCCTCCACCATTGTGATGCTGCAGGTTGACCGGGTCCTCTGAATTTTTGCTTCGATCCGTATTCAGCCACACCGCCACGAAGTCAGACAAGGTTTTGTGGGATCTGTACTGTATGCGGCGTTTAAGCATGTGCTTCGTAGTAGGGGACATTTATCTTCCTTTTCTTAACATACGACTGCTGCTAAGAACTCTTAACGACGATGGAAAGTCCTCATTTCCTGCAGTAATTTGCAAGTAGCAAATACAGTCCTCGCCTTAAGGATATAAAAGTGCAGCAAAGGCAGTAATCAACTATTTTCTACCGCATTGCCTTACTTTGTTACCCTTCAGCGGGAGCGTCTTAATTCGACAAGTCGACTGATGACAGCTACAGCCGATCGATATACACTGTCCAACTGCCAAGATGCACGTGTAGCGGTGCCTGCTTGGAATCAGTGTTTGGGACTGCTGCACAGGCTATCACGCAGAGGCACGATTCTAGTTTGCTGTCAAGGAAAAACAAGCCATGCTCTCCGTGCACGCGCCTTCTACGAGCTACAGATCCCTCCGAAGAAACTCAGTAATAAACGACGTGAAGGTACCCTTCCGCAAGCTGGACTGTGATAACTATCGCAGGCTACCTTGGGAGATGCCGATTGCTGTTAAGTTCGGCACCATTCCACTTAAGAATCGCACCTCGCGTGCCTCCCTTGTCAACAAAGACGCTGTAAGCGTTGAGTACGTTGAACCTACTGAAGTCTGTATGGAGGCTTACCGTTCCATTGACTCGGTACATTTCCGACACAATTATAACGAGTTCAAGAATTCCAGCTATGTCGGTATTCAAAGATTGGAGCGCAGACGACGGGAGCTCCTTCAAACAAAGTACTTCTGCGTTAATCATCCATCGCATATGCGTGAGGCGCGACTTCAGTGGAGTAAGCGGTATGAGCAAGAGATGGAAGAAGCCTGCATTCGGAGAAGGGAGAAAAAGGACACGAACTGCTATACTATTCAATTACCGGCACAATGCTTTAAAAAGATGGCGAACAAGGTGTCCGAGACGCCTGTACTTCCAGAGAAGATCGATTTGCCTCTGACACCGCGATTAGTTATCTCCAGAAGTTCACCGTCAACGCCCAGAGCAGTGATTCATGTAGAGAAGTCTGTCGAGAAGATGTTCGTCAACGCAGACCGAGCATTAAACCAGCTATTCGCTGCCCCGCCCCCAAAAGTGTTCCAGCCAGGGGCGCTCTTGCGGAAGCGCACCGCTCTAATTCCACCCAGAGAGCTCCTGCAGGATTTGGAGTAATTGCAATCCTGTTTGAACTGTGAAATTTGCACAAACCAAAATAAAATTATGCAAGTCCGAAATAATGCCTGAGCGATTACGACGGATTGTATATATGCTGTATCAACTTAGGTAAATATGAGACAAAAAACTTAAGACTAATAGAACAGGTTGAGCTCTAGCGTATCATTTCTCAGTCAAGAACTGAATCCCACCTGGATACTGAAAGGGTGAGTTTCTTATCCTCTCTGTTGTTTCTTCGAACGAAGTTTCGGATTTCAAACCCTGACGTCGCCACAACTGGTCCCTAGGACATGTAGTGTATGCTGAAGAGAAGCGCGCGGTCCCAAAAAGCACAGGTCAGCCTGGCAGAATTGTGAAGACAAACTTTGGTGAGAGTATAGAACCTCGAGCATTTGTAGTTCCTGGCTCACATAAACGGTCACCCATGTTGCCGTAAAACCACACGTCTCTCAAGAATCCAGCCGTAGGCTCCGCGAGATCGCATCAGGCTTGGGCTAGTTCAGAGTCCCCGTGCTCACCTCCAGTTGGTGACCCACGTGGACGGTGAACGACATGTGCTTTGACACATTATCATCTCATGAGAAAATATGCACTCGGTAGGATGCTTCCCAGGAAAAATTTAATCAAATGAAGCTGAATAGTTTACTGCCGCAACACTACAAAAGCGGATCCATTCAAAGGTCCTCAAAAAGGGACAAACATTTTCTGCTGGTTGAGCATACAGGTCGCCTTATTGTGAACTAGTACAGTTGCCGTGTAACTTGGGTCCGACGTTATCGAACATTCGATTATGCCACATCAAAATTCGTGCATGAAAGAGCGGAGGCGTTGTGGACTGCATAATTGGGCAACTGGGCTGATAAAGAAACCTGAGGGCCGTTGTTTTTAATGGTATGGAATAAGGCTCACTGACATTGTCTTTTAGTTGAAAAAATTAGACCTGATCAGGATTCATATTGAAATAGAGCATAGCTGTCCGCCTGCGTGTGCAGTTTGTAAGTTTGCGAAGACATTACTTGTTTACAGACACTTCCCACATTCTATCATGGCCTTTATCTGACTAACGGGACTCATTTCCAGCAATCACTCCCATCAAGTTTTGATATAAGGTCGATCAAAATGTAGAATAAAGAAAAGTTTGTAAAACTCGTCGCATTGACAACACGATATTTTTTAATAGACGCCGAACCTACCCGCTGTCACGACCAAATTTCGGGACGAAAAAACACGCCATTTCGAGACCGCCTTTATGCGCATAATTTAGTTGAGAATTAACCTTTGAAGACCCGTGTAAGTTTGAAGGTCGGTGTTTAGGGTGCAGCAGCAGTAGAAGCTCCATAATAAAATCTTATCTGAACAGTAAGATCAGGGCAGAAGGATAACGAACAATTAAGAAAAGGGCCTCCAGTACTAGTGCTACGGCATACAGTCCTCCTAAATCCGGTTGGCATGAGTATTATGTGGAAGTTAACAAAAACGTTGACAGACGAATGACAAATTTGACTGTAGGGCAAAGTTACCAAGCTCGTGCATGAGCTGGCTTCGTCTCAACTAAATGCCCTGAAT